GTCGCAGCACTGCACAGTCAAACTGTTGTCGGCAGCTGCTTAATGTAACTAATAAAGTAACTTGTAATCTAACTTAGTTACTTTTAAAATTAAGTAATCTGTAAAGTAACTAAGTTACTTTTTAAAGCAGTAATCCCTTATACTAATCAGATTACTTTTTCAAAGTAACTGTGGCAACACTGCTACCAAGCCATTGGATTTACCATTGGATTTACCTTTAAAAAGAATAATGTAATTCAATACACTGCTGCCATTCAGAAAAGGGGCACTCTCTAGAATGAAATACATTAGATTTTCTTCATTATGTCATGAATTAGTTACTGCCAAAGTGGTTTAACTCCTTTGACAGGCTAGAACAAAAACAACTCTGATGTATAAGAATAAGAACTTCTTTTCTCTAATGTCTGACATGCATTGTGCAATTCAAAAAGGCATTCAACAATTGGACGTGCGGGAAAATTCTGAAAAAAAGGACAAACACGCATTTCAATAGAAAATGACAGGAACATTTTCCATTGAAATAGATGTGACTCAGATGCTGATGTGCAAACGGACCACCCTTAGGCACTAGAGGGAAAAAAAAATCAGTTAACTGATGACACAGTGTTTTGTCCCATGAAGCCTATCATTCACACAATAACATGCAAACTCCACTCATTTCATCCCAGTCTTAACAAGACCTGGATTTACCCGATGATGCAATTTCTGTGTACAGAAGCTTTGCATTATGACAGCAGGAAGAAAGAGGCTTGATTAGTTTAAACTCTTGTTACAGAATGAAGCTAATGATGTAACGGCTGTTCTGAATGTCAGTCTTGAGTTAGGCTGTGAATAGGCTGAAAGGAAACAATGTAAAAATGTGTGTCTATGAGATGATGCATGGTGCGCATGTGGAGTTTAAACACGATGTAACAAGATATTGAAAGGGAAACTAAGCCTACAGATTAGTCTATTATCAGATGTAATATCTTACTACTGATGTAATTTGTCTTGAAGGTCATTGAATTGCTGCCAAAAAAGGTGTTTGCCATAAAAGTAAGAAATGTCAACCATCAAGTACAAAGAGCGACTGATCCTAGTCTGTAATAGAGAAACCATCACACTTAGCGCTCTGTAATCAGGAGTTCCTGTGAATATACCAGTCAGTGAAACTGCTGCTGTGATCTGGATTAGACCACTGGCGTCTTTCAGTTGTTTACACCCAGGCTAAAGGAAGAAAAGAGCATGTGTGCTGGCTTGCGTACAACTCCCGCCCAGTGTTGGTTTCTTGTGCTGAATGTGATTTTCCTAGAATCATTAGGACTTCTAAGTCAGCTCGAGCTCAACCTCACGTGAACCAAACGGCCAGAGGTCATCACAGAAATACTCCTAAGCTCATTAACTCTAGCAAAGATTGTCAACAAACAAACACTTTGACAGGTCCCTCAAATCCACAATACACCCACGCCCACACACATTACGCACATTATTGGATGAATAGGTCACTGAATTACCTTTGCTTACACTACCTAGATAACCTTATGTGCTTCACGTTCCACACACACGCACACGCCTTCACCTTTTCAGGAACCTTCATTCAATCAGTTTTATTCGTTTATCAGGGATGTTTTTGCCAGTTTTTGTTGGCAAGTCTTGTAAAATATCCAAATTGGAGTCTAATTTATACAGCATGTGTGTGTACACATACCATATTCCTTCCACATAACAAATACAACAATTAAACCATTTAAGAGAAAACCAAAGATAAAAAAAGGTATTATTTTTTTATTGGGACTTTTCTGATCACTGTTACCACATTATGTCCTAGAAAGTATCAAAAGTCTGTTTTGCTTGAAAAATATCCATAAAAACCCTTTTCATGGTGCAAATACCTCTTTCCCTTCTAAACCTCCTAGTCTGCCACCACAACCCCACAGCTACTGCTACTTTTCACATTCTCAACCACCGGCTTGACAAGTATGGCTTAATGAAACACTGAGCCTTGATTCTGTTTTTTTTTTTTGTTTGTTTTTTTCTGAAATAAACTGCTGGAACCCTACTTTCATTAGACACAGCCTGGATCTTGGCATGGGAGTGCGGGGCATACAAGGACAGCCCAGAATAGGAAAAACAGCCTGGACAGAGCCTGCAGCAAAGCACTAAGAGTGGCAGGGATCCAGCATAAATCACTATGAGTACACTGGCCACTGGAGAGTCATTGAATACATATGACTCAGGTAGGACACACACACACACACACACACCCATTATTGCAACACTGGTTTTAGGGCTGTCAGGTGATTGT